TTTTTTAAAAATTTAAAGTTAAAAAAATTCAACCTCTTTTTAATACTTCTTGTTAAGTTTTAATGTGACATATTAATTAAGAAAAAATATTAAATTACATGAATAATCCATATGATAAAAGTTAATAACATAGTTAAATTTTTTGTTAATATAACCTTACAATCATTTAATTATATAATTATCAATATAAATATTTTAAAGGTTATTATTCTCTTAGGTTCGTCTTGAAACCTCGGCACAAGGGTCGTCGCAAACCCAACGCTAGTTTTGTCTTGGAACCTGAGCGCAGGGTTCACTTCGAACCCAGTTCCTGGGTTGGTCTTTGAACTAAAGATGAGGAATTTTTGGTTTAACAAGAAAGAAGACGGAGAAGAATACGATAAGGATTTTTAGTTTGCTTCTCTGATTGGATGAGGAAGAAGATGGTTAACAAGACGGGGAAGAAACAAATGTGCTTAGACTGCTTGGTAATGATGGGTGATGTTATAAATTGGAACCTGTATATGGTGGGTTTTTTTTTAACAGAAGGAAGTGTAAGGACAAAATAGAGAGAATGAGTAAATTTCATTAAAATGTGAAGTAAAAGTTCTCGTAAAAGCACATTCTAAAAATTGTATTAGAATGGGAAAAGATCAGCTTGTGAGAAGGCTTGTAATTTTTTACAAGCTGTGGTGTTTGGTGTAGCTGAAGTTTTTAAACCTGAAAAACACTTCCTACCAACTGTACCAAACATGCACTTACTCTCTTAATTATCGGCCATTAATCGTAAGGACTAGTTAAATACTTAAATCTCGTTGTGGTCATTGTTATACTTTCGTCCACAACCACTCCTATAACAAATTCCTAAATATAGTAATAAATATGGAGATCAATGTTTATTGGTTAGGATTTAAAAAAATAGACAGAAAAATATTTAAAATAATGTGATTTTAACAAAATATTATAAAAAATTTATATAGCATCAATTTTAGGCTCCCATAACAAATTCATAAATATAGAAATAAATATGGAGATTAATGTTCATTAGTTAAGATTTAAAAAAATAGACAGAAAAATATTTAAAATAATGTGATTTTAACAAAATATTATAAAAAATTTATATAGCATCAATTTTAGGCTACTAATATATTAAATTTTAAATTTTTTATGATAAACATAGATCTTAGTCCAAAAATAAGACATCCAAACCATCTTGCGCCTAAAATATAGCCTTTTTTTTTCACTTCATAATGATATGACTATATATATATATATTGATAATCATACAACCATTCATATAATATGATGTCCTTCTGGTACGAGGGTCCTCTATATTATTGAGATTTTACAAAGTTTTCTCAAATGCTTAATTTGGACCACATAATAAGTGCTACATAGAGACACAGTGGCATCCATGTCTGGAAGTTTTGGTATGCTACAATCTACATGATCCACAAACATCCACAACAATATAACTATTTAAATAATAAGATATTCTTCTGGTACGAGGGTCCTCATATTATTGATATATTACAAAGTGTCCTCAAATGCTTAATTTGGACCACACAACATAATAGGTGCTACATAGAGAGAGTGGCATCCCAGTGGAATCTACGTGAACCACAAATTCACCTAATGCGTCATCTCCAACTACAGTATTTCCAAGCTGTATCATATATGAAAACCCAGGCTTGAGTAAGAGGGAGGAAGAGGATCCACTTCTATAAGGATCTAGTTTTCTTTGCCAGTTTTATTCTCATCGCCTTTCAAGAACTTTGAGAACCAATATGCAGAGGATTTTGGATGCCGGGTGAGACCATTCTTGTAATCCACGAAAACTATACCAAAGCGCTTGGTATAGCCTTGAGCCCACTCAAAGTTGTCCAATAGCGACCAAGCAAAGTAACCCCTGACATCTACTCCATCCCTGTCCATGCAAATGATAAACACAATTACCTATTTTGTTTTCCCACTAAGTGTTGCCTTTAATTGTTGATATGGTCACCCTTTATTTCATTTGCTGTTTTTATGTCTAATCTAACTAGTCATCATTGGCAAACCAAATGAGAAGGCATTAGCAATAGTAAATCATCCAGTAAAAACCAACATAGCACAGCTTACTTGGCATGAGATCAAGA